TTGTTCGTTCGTTGGGCCCTCAGGGCAGGTACTTACCTGTGGCCGTGGCTTCGAAGGGTTGCAGCGGCGAAAAAGCACTCAAGTAGCGGGCAGGCCGGTACCGCACCCGGCAGGGGGGTAAATATGCAGGTACCGGAGGCCGAGCAGAAGAAGACAAAAGTGGCATTTTTAGAGGCCGGTAGTGTAGGCTAGGTCTAGCGGGTACCAGTCTGAGTCTAGGGCCTGTAGGGGCAATATCAGAGTCTGCAATGATGTTTCCCTCCAAAAAGGGAGGAGGTACCGGTTGCTTGGGAAGGCCAACGGCCTGGAAGTCACCACCCAAGAGGCAAAGCAGGCCGCTATATCTTCAGGCCGGGCGAAAGACCCGGCCTCTTTTTCGGTGTGCAAGTTTGGCGACACACTGGTGGAGCGCTGGCTGGAGCAGCGCTGCTGGGGAGGAAGGAGAATGACATGAGGGAGGAAGAAGGAGGAAGGAGGAAGGAAGGGGGAAGAGCGCCAGGGGTACTTACCTGGCTATGGTGGCAGCCATCTTCATCACCTTGGTAGGCGCTGCAGCAGGGAGTCCCCAGCTGGGGAGAGCTACACCAAGAAGCCTCAAGGCAGGGTTGGTGCATGGCGGCCTGAGCTAGAGCAGCCATAGCTGCTTTGGGTTGTTCTTTGGACGTCTGGGCAAGACCTAGTAGTCCGCCATAGCCTCGGCCTATGAGAGTGAAGAGTGAGGGGAGGCGACCATGGCTATGGTGGACCTCAAGTGATACCTGCGGTAGAAGAGGAACTCGGACATTCATTCTGGACCAGTCATTCAACATTGTATTATTATTTCTTGTATGAATAAGAGGAAGAGGAGATAAGGAGGAGGAGATTGTGGGGCGAAGAAGAAGAGTCTTGTCACTGTCTTTGCTGGTGTACATCTTCTTCTTCTTCTTTCTTACTTCCTCTTCTTCTTCTACTCCTCTCTCACCTCTCAAGTTCATTCATTTCTTTCTGCAATTGGATGGCATTGTACTTTCCAGTGGATGCGTATTTCGAAATTGGCCAAGGTCATAACAAATCGATTGATCACCTCTCAAGTTCATTCATTTCTTTCTGCAATTGGATGGCATTGTACTTTCCAGTGGATGTGTATTTCGAAATTGGCCAGGGTCATAACAAATCGATTGATCAGTTAATTGAGTTTATTCCCTTGATTATTTCAAATCCGTATTTAGGGAAGCATCAAACTTCCGAAAATTTCGTGAATTTCAAAATTCCGCAAACTTCATATTCCCGCGAATTTCGGAATTCCGCAAATTTTGAATTCCGCGACTTCCAAAATTTTGAGATTTTCACAAATTTCGCAAATTTCGCAAATTTCATAAATTTGTGAATTCCATTAATCCCACGAATTCCAGACATCTGCGAAATCCGCGATATCGAATTAGGGCTAATCGAGATTACCCCAAAAGAAATCGTTTTTTTTCGGAATTCCGTATTTTTTTTCGGACCAAGGCCAACGTAGTAGAATGCAGTAATTTTTAAAATTCGTAATTACTTCTTGTTTTTGCAAAAGCAAAACAATTCGAAATCTCCAAGATTCCCCATCTCGCCACTTTTCGAAGTCACATTTTTGTAAATTGCGAAAAAATTCACAATTCCGAAATTATTTTTCTTACCCACTGACAAATGCCTAACTGACACACAATCGACAGACATTCAGAAGGAAAAAAAAAAGACGATTCTTTTCCTGTTTCATTTTTTTATTATGTTGATTAGTGTCAGTGTACGGGATTGGACATTGCAGTTGGTCTGTTTGCCTGCCTGCATTGTTCCCCCCTCCCCCTCCTCTTCTTGTTTCTCTCGGCTCGGTAAGTGCCACGTTAGCATCTACCACGCCAGCATTTGCCACGTCATCATCTGCCACGTCATCATCTGCCACGTCATCATCTGCCACGTCATCATCTACCACGTCATCATCTGCCACATCATCATCTTCCACGTCAGCATCTGCCATATCAGCACCGCACCGCAGCTGGATTATGCTCCGGTGCAGCGCTCGGGTCGCTGCACGTGTTGGGCCAGCATCACCTGCACCCGCTCCAGCCGTAAGCTGGCGCCGCCGTCAGCCTTCTGACAGGCGCCAACAGCCAGTACCAGCCAGAATGGCCGCAGCAGCAGCAGCAGCACCGCTCAAGGTGCACCCGGCTTGGGTTTGCCCGACCTGCAAGCACAGGCCCTTGGCGAGACCGTCAAAGCTTTCCAGCTTCGCATAGCCAACTACTTGGCTTTCATCGATGCGGAGAAGAAGCGCCAAGCTGAAGCCGAAGCTCAACGCATTCCTGCAGCCGAACGGGCGGCAGCTTAAGCAGCTGCAGCATGACAGCATCAAGAAAAGGAAGCCACAACAGCTTTGAACCAGCTTTACCTCCAGGCAGGCAATACCTTGCAACAGCAAGAGACAAACTACGCTGCCATGCTACAAAAATGGCACTTCACGTCGGGAGACGGCAACAGCATTCCAACGGATGCCAACAAGACCAAAGAACACATCTCCAAGATCATCGCCCAACTCCTTGCCACCTGCAATTGGTAGCAGAATGAGTTGTGGCGACAGCAACAAGAGCTGCAGCGTCTCTTATGCGCCATCGGCGACACACGGGTTTCCAAAATGAAACCAACCGTGGCTTCCACGCGCGTATTGAGACCTTGGAGCAACAACACACTGTCACACCCGACAGCGGACCTAGTACCAGCCAGCCGTCGACACGACAACTGGAGCAGCGGATTGATCATGAGGACGCCACAATCGGCAACCTTGGCACGTTCGCGGAGCCAGCAACGATCAACCAGCAGCTCACAGTGCTGCAGGCCGACATCCGGCTACTGCAGCAGCAACCTGCTGGCGGCACTAACCCGCGACCATACAAGATGCTGAACTTCCGCATCGAGAAGTTCGATGACTACACCAAGACCGATCCGCTCACATGGTGGCAAGGATTCGCCACCGAGCTCGAACTTCACGAAGTGCCTGAGCGCCTCAAAATTGCAGCGCTCTACCTCAATTCCAGAGGCGAGTGCTAGATCTGGCTCAACCACCTCGCGGTCAAAGAAGGGGTCAACGTGGAGATCCTGCTTACCAAGCTCGATTGGGACGCCATCACCACGTAGTGGAAATCGTGTTTAATTGTACAAGATTCGAAGGCAAAAGCGACCAACAAGGTGTTCCAAATGTATCAAGGGAGTCAACCTACGCGCGATTGGTTGACCGAATGGCAAAAGATCGTTGCCATTCCGGACCTGAACCTGTCGTTCGAGCACATATGACGCGAGATTTTCCGGCGGTCGACCAACTCCTTAACGCAGGCACTCGAACAAGAGGAGGACTACACTAACTTTGACTACATTGTCACATGTGCCCGTGCCATCATCCAAACCAATCGGCGGGCCACCAACGAAAGGCAAGGGCAACCAAACTTTGTGGAGAAAGGCAAGGGGCAACGAGCGAAGCACATCGCTGCAATCCAACCAAACGGACAAATAGACGACTCGGAATCGACTTCGGTGTTAAGTGAAGGAGACCAAGTCAATGCCCTTCGGCCACGACGCACCAACACACGGAAAAAGAAGGCGAAATCAGCGTCGACGTCAGAAGTCGGACAACCGAACGAGTCGAGGAAGAAATTCTGACTGACGGAGGGTCAATACAAACTCCGCCAAAAGTACGGATGTTGCTGCTGGTGCAACGGTACCAAACACACCCCGTCCCAATGCCCCCACAAGGGCAAAGAGGACGTCCGTCCATGGCCTAGCTTGGGAAACTGAGCTCCGCGGGAAGTGAGGCGACTCCACTTCCCATTTCGCCGGACACGGTTGCCTTGCAAGCGACCTCCTACACGTTCGGGGAGCACAAGGATGTCGCAAATCTTCAAGAAGACTTCGAAGACTATGCTTTCCAGCTGGTCCCTCAGTTGGACCTACCCCTCCACGTGCAAGACGCTCACGTATGCACGGTTTCATCACCGTCGGCAATCGAACCAACTTCATAGCCGACACCATCATCTGGTGATTCGTCGGTGTGGTCAAGACTTGAGGACCTCGACACGTTGACGACGGAAGACTTCCAATGGTTGCCTCTTCCCCCATCCGGTTCATTGTCGAAACCGCATTGCAACGCCCTAATGGCAGAGCTACAAAAGTATTTGCACAGTGCAGTACCAACTCCCTTGACGGACGACGGAGTAGCGATTGTTGACCTTCACGAGTATATTGCGAAGATCGACCGCGAGTACGCCACGCAACGGTACGACAACATCAACACGCCGTTACTTTACATCTGCATTTAGATCGGAAAGGCGACCTGCCACGCCTTGATCGATTGTGGAGCTACTCGCAACTACAACCAAAACTGCATGGCGCGCGTCAGCCTCCGCCCGCGCGTTCGAAGGAAGTCGCAGCCCACACAAGTCACATCGGTTGACGGTCACACACACAAGTGTATTGACCGGTGCATCGACGAGGCGCTCTTGTACTCCGCCCCGCACGCACGCGAGGCTGTGTCCTTTTACTTCTTGGACACCAAGCTCAACATGATCTTGGGCATGTCGTGGCTGCGAAGTGAGGACCACCCGGTGAACTTATACCGCCGCACCGTTCACGTTCGTGATCGGAATGCGATCTGCGTCCCATGCACGGTTCCTCCGCCTCACCCTTCGATTGGTTGTCACGTGGTCTCCGCGGCGAGCATTCGAAACTCCATCGCACCGCAAGACGTGGAAGAAATGGGCATTTGATTCTTGCACGCCCTCCCTCCTCCCGACAAGCCAGCAACGAAAGTGCCACCTGACCCACGCATCGTAACGCTTCTTGACTAAACGACATCATTGCCAAGGGCTGGATTCGCCCTACGGTGCACCCATTCTTTTCGCCCGGAAGAAGAACAAGGAATTGCAACTATGCATTGACTACTGCAAACTTAACTCGCAAACCGTTAAGAATGCTGGCCCGCTCCCGCGCATTGTCGATCTTCTCGAACGATTAGGCGGTCTTCGGGTGTACAAAAGGAAGACAAGGGAGAAAGACGAGGGAGAAAGAGAGAGAGAGATGAGGATGATGATGTGAGGGCTCAAACCTGGTATTGGTGGTGTTCTGCATTGGGCGACATCTTCATGTACTTCGGTGGTTGCTGACATCAGCAGTTGCATTGTCAATTTATAGGCAGATAGTTAGCTGTTTTGGGGAGTAGTCTGGGCGTCGAGCGCCAAGTAGGGGGAAGGGCATGGACTCTAATGTTGGTGATGACAAGAGTAAGCTCTCATTGATATTTGGTTTCGGTGTTTTCATTCTCCATTGGTGTAACATTGGTGCATTACTGCTTTCTGGACACTGTGAGACTTTCTACTTTCAATGTGATCGTGTAATCTGGATTCTGTCATCTCGCTATTGCTCATTTTCCTTGCAATTTGGTATCGGAGCTGGTTCGAACTGCGCCTTACTGGTTCTTCGCAATAGCTGTTCGGTGCTTCGCATGAGGTGTGGGGCAGTGATAAGGTTTAGGCGTTGAACGATAGGCGGCCCAGGATCGTGTGGGCGCGCCGGGAAGGCTATGTGGTGACATAGGGATGTACGCTGGATGATGAGAGCTCGTTGATGTGGCACTTAAGCCGAGGTGGAACTGCATTTTGCTGTTTGTTGTGCCAAGGCAAGGACCGGTCATCATAAATGCACGTCAGGTTGTCGGTGAGAAATCTGTGGTTGGGGGCAGCATTATGAGGTACGTTGCTCTCTTCCTTATCTACCCTCTTCATTACTTCTTACCGTGAGGAAGTGAGTTCTGTCTTGAGAGTCCTCTCAATGTGAGGTGCCGCGAGCGCTCAACCTTGAGAGTCGACATTCTTCCTGGGCAGCAAGCTGGTGGGAGCACTCGGGTCACGATCACCATGCCAACCCGCTGGGACTAGTACACGCATGCTTTGCCTCAAGTCCTTGGTTCTGCTGCTGCGCAATAGAGGTCATGTTGGGCATGCCAGCCCTTTAAGAGAAGCTTACCAGACCATCTACAAACATTTCTGGCGGGTTCAGGTTGAACCCTGACTGTGATCGTTGTCGTGTCTGCAACATTAAATAATTCATGAGGACCTTGGGGGCTGTCCTTAAACTGCCTCTTGATCAGCCAGATCAATCGGAAGTAAGGCTTCTTGCATGTGAGGGTAAACAAGGTGCAGGGCTGGCAGGTTTAGCATAGACTTGGGGCACAGGGGTGGGCCGGATTGCACACCTTAAGACACGTGGCTCAACCAGATGCTCAGGACGTCAACACAAGAGACTACTCAACAGGGATACAGGGGGAGGGGGGATTCCGGCAACTGTTCGTTGTGGTACTAATTAGATAAACTGCCATCCAGCATGCATCTCCACAGGTAATTTATTTTTATTTTTGATTATTTAGTTGTACGAACTTGGTGACAACTAACAGACCGTTGCAGATAGGATAGACCTGTTATGAACTTGGTTGTCTGACGATTTTCTCGCCACTCACACATAGAGTGTCTGACACATGCCCGTACACATACCAGACAAAGGGGAGAGGAGACAGAGTCCAAACTGCACACAGACAAAGATAAGCAGCGGAATTCAACCATGCACAGATGGGGAGAAGACATACCGTGGTTCTCACTCTCTGACAGACTCCCAACAACCAATCACAAGAAGACACCTGCGAGGATAACAATCGGAATCACACTGCTGAAGAGCCAACTCAAACCAATAATCATTACAGAGTTTATCCCAGTGTCTCGCCACCCTCAGAACTCCACACACCACCCTCTATCCTACAACCAGTTAGTAGCGCCACACAGAATCTGCCTCCCAGAGGCCAGCGCCGGCCATCCAGATGAAGAACACGAATCGTGATGAAGTCTTAAGTGCCGATGGAAACTCTGACGAAGAAGATGGCAGCTGTGGCTGCCACACCACTGACAAGCCCTGATAATCCCCCAGAGGCGAAGGGCGACAGTGGTCCACCCACATAGACTCAGTGCATTGCCTCTAAACAGCGCAGCCAATCGCAGATACCCTCAGGGGTAGATGCGCAGAGGATGCCCCAGGTATGGCAAGCCTCAGTAGGCTGGCTATGGCTGCCGTCCACGACGAAGGTCTTGGGATGCCGCCTCAGACAGTCGCCAGCACCAACTCGCTTGGCTCCAGAACGCTGTATCGCGAAAATGAAATGCCAAAAGTCCCTAACCTACAGGCTCAGTCCTATTAATAGACTAGCCTACTCTAGTCCTAGACCTACTGGACCAGTACCGCATCAGTTTGGCATGTTCGGCCTGAGCCCTACCTGGTTATACGGCGTCTAAACCGTCTCTAC